GTTTACACTAAGATGAACTGTGCAAGTAAGGCTTCTTTTCTCTCTCTATTTGCCGATTTAGGGTTTTATTTTGATTGGTTTCTGCTGGTGACACTGGTGTGTATTTCCTCGTATAGTTTCCGGCGAAGTTCCGGAGGAGCCTGTGGTTTCTACAAAGTCGGGTTTGCTCTACGAGAAGCGGCTAATCGAGAGGCATATATCGGTAAGCTCTCTTCGCTTCTCTGTATTTGCTTTAGATAATTTCTTAGTATTAGTGTAAAATTGAGTGATGTACACTCGATGGAACTAGATTATAGATTTATCAATGCATCTGGGTTGATACTCTTGTGGGAACTAGTTAGATCCTTTTGATATAATGCATAATGGTCAAACACTGATGATGGATTTCTGGTTTCCAAGATAATAGATTTGGTTGTGTATGCGTCAGTAGTAATTTATAGATTGCTTTTGGTACCCTGTAGGATTATGGGAAATGCCCGGTTACTGGTGAACCACATACCATCGATGACATTGTTGCCATCAAAACTGGGAAGGTAATGCAACCGCTGGAATTATTTTTGACAGAGCAATGTTTGCAGAAACTTATTGAAGCCTGATTCGCTCTCCGGAACCATTTTGCAGATTGTAAAACCCAAACCTTTACACACAGCTAGCATCCCTGGATTGCTCGGAACGTTCCAGACTGTAAGCTTTTACATTGTTTGCTTTTTTTTTTTTTCTCCCCACATTCTTCAGTCGTGTGCTTGCTTTTCTTGTGGGATGGTTCACTCTGAAATTTCCCCTCTTTTTCTATTAAGGATTATACTGAGTTATATGGATCTATGAATTTGATACATTATATAGCGCTGGTTCGCATGGCTGTTTGAGTTATTTAATTTAGGAGATTGCAATCTACTCTTTAGCACAACTATTACTTGTGTCATCTGTTGTTACGGTTGTCAAGAGAAAAGTGTTCGGCTGTTATGTCGAAATTAAGCAAAAGAAATGCGTAAAAAGTTTATCAATTTTTGTGTGCTTGCAGGAATGGGACAGTTTGATGCTATCAAATTTTGCACTGGAACAACAACTGCATACTGCGAGGCAAGAGCTAAGTCATGCTTTGTATCAGGTAATTAGGATTAAGTGCATGTGCCACCACCTTATCAGACTATATGATTTACGAATATTTATTATGTACTCCAGTTTCCTTTTCTCTGGGCATTTTCATTTATTCTTTGTAATGAAGGTGATTGATGGATTTTTGGGGTACAATTCTCCTTCTCTTTGCAGCATGATGCTGCTTGTCGTGTGATTGCTAGGCTTAAAAAAGAAAGAGACGAATCACGACAATTGCTTGCAGAGGCTGAAAGGCAGTTACCTGCAGTCCCCGAAGTTGCCACAGCGAATGCTGTGCTTAGTAATGGTAAACGAGGTATGCCTGTACATTTGCTTCCCTAAAAATGTTTGCTATGTATTCATTTCTCTTTGAACAAGTTACAACGTTTTATTGTTGCAAAATAGCTGTTGAAGATGGTGAAGAAGGGCCCGATGCAAAGAAAATGCGTCTTGGAATTTCTACTGAAGTTATCACAGAACTGACAGATTGTAATGCTGCTCTTTCTCAGCAGCGTAAAAAGAGACAGGTAATGCATATAGCTTCATATATATCAGTATCCTGGTTGAAAATAGAAGGCAAGAGAGAACTACATACAAACCATATATTATTTTTTTGTACCTTACAACAGATATCTGTACGTTTGGAATTTGTATTTTTGTGTTTAATTGGCATGGTTCTTCTGTCTTGACAATTTTTCTTCATTGGTTCTAGATTCCTCAAACACTGTCTTCAATTGATTCTCTGGAAAAGTTCACCCAGCTCTCAAGCCACCCACTTCACAAGACCAACAAGCCTGGTATTTTTTCAATGGACATCCTACATTCTAAGGTTTGACACCTGGACCCTATTTTCCGTTTATCACTTTATGTTGTTTAACTCTGTTCTGGGAAGACATTGCATTGATGACATGCTTATTTGTGTTCATTCATTAAATTGCACACTGCCATGAATCCTCAGTTATATGCTTATCAATATTGTTCTCGGTATAATAGTTTTTTTTTAGCGTAATAACTATACTATCAGCTTCTATCAGTGCATACCAAACATTGCTTCTTACACGCAGTGACTCATCGCTTTTATGCATGTCTATTGATTCATTGCGTTTTGTTTATTATACAGTACCTTTGTGTCATGGGTTCTTGAGTCCGTTCTTTATTGATGTTACTAATCTCAATTTCGTTTTATATCTGCTAATCAGGATGTCATAGCTACCGGAGGAATTGATACTACTGCCGTTCTCTTTGATCGTCCTTCCGGTCAAATCTTATCAACACTGACTGGTCATTCAAAGAAGGTCTGTCTTTTGCCGTAGGTTTCTTATTTTTTCTCTTAACTTTGCTACTTCAGTTTCGTGCTTGACATGTATTGCTCCTTTTTCAGGTTACAAGTGTTAAGTTTGTAGGTGACACTAATCTTGTTTTGACTGCTTCATCGGACAAGGTAAGTCGAGATTATATACTGGCCTAAAATACGATGGTTTTATAATCTTTCTATGTAGTGTGCTTGCATGATTTTAACTAGTAGTATTGAGGAGATGAACTTGTTTATTTAAAGTGTGTAGAATTGGTTAGGTTCTCCTCACACAGCTACTTAAACAATACCTAGCGTGATGTATTTTGTAGATAAATCTGGTTTATAACACGATTGATCTTTTTCTAGAACCGCAAATCAGTTGACTTACATAATGGATTGATTAGTTTGGTGTTTTGACACTCCGCAGACAGTCCGTATCTGGGGGAGTTCTGAGGATGGGAACTATGCATGTCGACACACATTGAAAGATCATTCTGCTGAGGTAAGGATGGAATTGAAGAATTCAAGCTATTGTCACAATACAGTTTTACCTTTGATTTATATTTGTTCTGCTAAAGTAAAAGCAATGATGTACTTTTCAGGTGCGAGCTGTTACCGTCCACGCAACAAATAAATACTTTGTCTCGGCATCTCTGGACAGTACGTGGTGCTTCTATGATATGTCCTCCGGTTTATGCCTTGCCCAGGTAACCAAACTATTTGTACCTGTTTTCCAGTTTCAGATTTTCTTTTCGTATGCTAACATAACAAATGTTTATAGAAAGTATGAGAAAGATTCATTGAACACTGGTATGTTAAATAAGACTTGTAAGAAAGACCTCCTGTTCTTAGACGTGTCATTCTCATGCTTGTTATTCAGGTAACGGATGATTCCGAAAAGGTGGATTACACGGCTGCTGCTTTTCATCCCGACGGTCTCATTCTTGGAACTGGTACTGCTCAATCTATTGTCAAGATTTGGGATGTAAAGAGTCAGGTAAAATCCCCTTGACTTTCCTTGCCCATCAACTCTTGAGATCATCAAATGTTATTAGTATTCTTCATTTGCTTTCACCTAAAGTTAGTCTATCTCTATTGGCTGATAGGCAAATGTGGCAAAGTTTGGTGGACACACTGGAGAAATCACATCTGTATCATTTTCTGAAAATGGCTACTTCCTCGCGGTGAGTACTTTGACCCGACTAATTAGAATAAATATATCACCAGTTTTCATTTTTACTGACCGAACTTTGTCTGTTCTTGAAATCGAGCAGACTGCTGCTCTGGATGGTGTTAGGTTGTGGGACTTGCGCAAGTTAAAGAACTTCCGAACATTTGATTTTCCAAATGCAAACTCAGGTATTCAACTAGCTGAGCACTCGTACTATTTCATTTTTTTTTTGTGGTTTTCGTTTCTAAGACATGGATGAAATTCTTTGTGCAGTGGAGTTCGACCATAGTGGATCTTACCTTGGCATTGCTGCTTCAGATATAAGGTGAGGCGTTCAGTGATACACTTGTGTATATAGGGAATTACTTGATCTAGGAGCTCACATCAATAGATGAAACTGATAAAATATGCCAACTCAAGAACCTTATATTACTAGAAATGCACTTTGGGCAGTAAAAGTTACTTTTGCAGTTTGTACTAATAAATCTTGTTTTTCAACGTTTTTAGAGTATTCCAAACGGCCAGTGTAAAAGCAGAATGGAATCCGATCAAGACTCTTCCCGATCTATCCGGTACAGGTAAATGTCATATGATCAAGCTTTTTGAAGTCACTGTTCTCCTTTTTTTTTTAGTCTATTATGCAGACATTGTGAATCCATGAACTTTGCAGGTAAAGCAACATGTGTTAAGTTTGGACCGGACGCCAAATACATAGCAGTTGGTTCAATGGACCGTAATCTGAGGATATTTGGTTTACCTGGAGATGACAATACCGAGGATTCTGCACAAGATTCATGAAAACATGTCTCAAGTCTCAGCATCAAGAGTAGCTAAATCTTCAGTTACATTCTATTTCTGTTGTATCTTTACAGTTTCCTGTTTGGTGTTATTTTTAGCCCTTTCACAATCACATTCACACCTGAGCTCTCTCTCAATCTACAACTTCCAAGTCCCAAAGTTCCTATAACATCATCTTACCTTAAGAATCTACAATACGTTTTCTCTCTTTGATCTGAAAGAATCCATATAAAGCTTTTCATGTTTCAGAGAAAGTTAGCTGCTCACTATATTATTGTTGAAACAAAGATACATACCATATGGTATTTATTGTAGCAAGCTAAGCGTAGGTATATGGGATAATTCTCAATTTTAAAAGAGCGCAAAAATTCCTTCTTTTTTTTGGGGGGCAAGGGTTATGATGAGTCTTAGGACAATGAAATGAAGACAAGAACAAAAAGTGATGGTTATTCATGGAAATTAGAAAACCCTGAGACAGACAGAGATTTTGACTGTACTCTGGTCAAAAAACACACTTCACAATCTTCCCATTTCCCCACCAATCTCAGATTCCTTTTCACTTCTTCCAATTCTCTCTCTCTTGGCCTTTTTAATTTTCCATTTATAGCCATCTTTAGTAATTCCGTTATCAGTTAATTTTCATTAACATACTTTTGTGTATCAACTACTACATCAAAGTGCAAGAAAGTTTATATCTTTTCTTTAACCCAATTTCCAAAATAACCAACCACTCAACCTTATTGTTCACAAAGTAAGTCATCGAAATGACTTTTAACTTTGAATTAGATTCAAAGACCACACTACTAGGTGGTAAAAAGGAAGTCTAATTAAGCAATAAATAAATAAACTGTTAACTAAAGCTTTCACTCAATAATTATTTTATTGTATTTGCTGTAGTAAATCAAACACATTGTACTGTCTCAAAACTGAATGGCTCACAAGCGTTAAAAGAAAAAAGGAGC